CGATGAACTTTTCCCAACAGTACTTCCACTTTTCGCCACTTTTCGAATAAAACGGGTACCTCAAAATTATCGTGAACGGTCCCTTCAATGAAATTAGTTTATTTATTTGAGACATGCCATACATCTAACAATCTCATTAGAAACTGAGTGTCTATTGGCTAATACAACGACAAAAACAGTTCGTTCGAGCATGGCGATTCATCGGTTCCAACTACTCTTGAATTTTGAGAGCTTCAAAACCAGTTGTTCTAGTTACTACGCAGCAAATTCGGAATTTTCAATCAGTTCCTACGAGACGAACATATTCATGCGCAACTTCAAAAAGATATTCGCTATTTCCATGAAAATCTACAGCCTCTCAAGAAACTGGTTCGTCCTGTTTGTAATTCTGATTATTCTTCCTAATGAATCCTCCGATTGGAAACCAGATACGCTGGGCGCAGGGCAAATGTGAAGGCGGAGCTGAGTGTACGGTAGTATGCATACTGGCTGCGCCATTCACCACTGAGGGAAGTGCTGAGGAGCTCCAGCTCCGCTTCCATGGTTGCACTGCACCTAGCGTACGTGATGGCTTGGAGAGTGACTTTCGATGAATTTAGTACCCACCCAAACGAGCCGAACAGTTCAATAGTGCCTTTTCCCAACTATCGACTCAACTTGGTGAAATCTCTTACATGGATCGGTTTAGAATGCTTATCACTCAGGTTTGCCTATTGGCTACTCAACCAGGAGCGGCGATAAGTAGGGGTAACCATGTTACGTTTCAGATGGGTAATGCATTGGGCTTTGTACGGTCAATGTCTTCGGGAGCGGCAGCGGTTGCCAGTCAAATGAAAGCCTATGACACCATTGAAGATGACATCACGTGCTCCGACATGGAAGGTCGTTTTTTGGAATTTACCACGGTCTTCGAAGCTTAAGTAAGCAAGTTGTTTAGACGATTCCCCACTGAATACGGCCAAGAAACTTCTTCAAGAATTACGCGAGCAGGCCAATAAGAACAGGGATTTTACGAAGGTAAGCGCACATATCTCTCTCTCTCTCTCTCNGGACTGGACCGGTCTGCCGACAGATGATTTGTTCTTTTTACTCTCCATTGCATGTATGAGGTTTTATACTGCATTTCCAAAGACTGAAAAATAGGGCAGAGCCTATTTTTCGGTCTCTCGGGAATGGGAAATAGAATGTACATCCTTGCTGGCACATCTGTCGCAGGAAGGAGGGATGGGCCAGCGGAGGGGCGCCTATACAGGAAATCAGGGGAAGGGCATCTTATATCATTCATTCTATCCCGTAGGATCAAAAATCCTGAGTGGCCAGAGCCAAGGTAGCACGGTAGCACATAGACATCGACATAGACATTATTTGTATGAACCTTCTGGTAAAATCGCTGCCCGACATCCATTAGTTTCAGATGTTGGTGGAAGTATTTCGTAGTGCATTCCTGGATGATTCGAAATTCAGTCATCTACTCGATTTCTATGTGGCTGTACCAGCTCTAATGGTGAACTATGTGGAGCACATGCTGATCTGTAGAGATCGACTGAAGAAACGTGCTCAGCTGCATAAAGAGATCACCTTTACTGACGACGGTTTTATCATGGGTATGGCCTACTCTTTACTGTTTCTACTGAATTCTTTTCAACATGTATTGGAATTGAGCTGTTCAGAAAATCTCTCTCATTTATAAAGCAGAAACTTGGTGTGTCGGTTTGTCGGTTTGTGTGTTTGTCGGTATGTCGGTTTGTCGGTATGTCGGTGTGTCCGTCCGCAAACGTTCATGATTACGAT